CCCCCTACGCTCGCACGCGGCCGCCGTCGTGCTGGTGCTTCGTGTCTCCCGTCTGTGGCCATTTCCCCGCGCGCTCTTCGGCTTAGTTTTCTGAGAGGTCTGTGAGAGAAGAAAGGAGTAAAAGAACCCAAGGCTTCGCGTCTCGGTCACCTTCTTAGTCTAGGAGCTGAAGAGATCGACAAGAGGAACACCGTCCTCCCAATGGGATAGGGCAGGTAGGGGATGCGATTTCATTAGGACCTCAGGAGGGAGAAGCTTGTGAGAATTTCCACTTCACCGGAAACAGAGAGCCCCTGGTGGGAATTTCCTATGCCTTTCTTCTCATGAACTCTGAAACTGTGCACAATCTTTTTCAAATCCTTACACCCAGTTTTTACCGATCTGTATTCTTCTACCCACAAAGCAAAGAGCCCGAAGAACCACTAGGGTGCCAACAAGGCCTTCCCACTCTAGAGGAACATTTCATCTTCATTTTCAACTTCAGTTATCAGACGACGTTGAGAGACCCCACATGCAAATTTATCTAGGGATGTGAAGTAAGCCTGTTTTTAAGAAACGGACCCTATTGAATGGCAAGATCCCCAAATCTGCTTTTCCGGTGGGTGGGATGGTAAGTCAGGATCGGTGAGCTCCCAAAGAGACCATGCCAGTGTCTTTCATGGTTCCTTCTTGGCTACTAGTTTAGTGGCCTGGAAAGCCTTGTGTGTTGTCTGTTTCTTAGCAGCGGGACACCCTCAGTGGTGGTTTTGAGTAGGCTGGTGGGTAAAGAGCCCAAGGTTCAGACAGGGTGCAGAATGATTATTTGGGGGTGAGATCAAGAGTTTTCAGTTTTCTTTCCTTTGAGCCGAGTCAGTACTTGGACTATTTCAGATAGTCCGGGAGCAACCTTTGTCAGTGATTTCGTTTTTAGTCACTGTTAATTTTACCTACCTAGCATAAGCCATGAAATGTGATTCTTTGAGTCAGATCCACCCATGTCAGTTACTGTGTCTAGATTCATGATTTAGTCTCAACTGTCTCCTTCTTAAAGTGAGGATAATGGAGACAAATTTAGGCATTATCTTTGAATCCCTGGAAGTTTATCATTCCAACTTTAGTCAAAGTACATTATTTAAAAAGTATCTTATTAGGGAAGGTATAGCTCAAGTTGTAGAGTGCATGCTTAGCATGCATGAGGTCCTGGATTCAATCCTCAGTACCTCCTCTAAAAATAAATAAACTTAGTCACCCACCCCAAATAAAATAAATAATACAATAATAAATAAGTAAAACATTTTTTAGAAGTGTCTTATTAGTTTCCAGTTATAAGTCATTGATCCTTGTAAATCCTGTGTGATCAACTTTGAATCCTATGAGAAGAAACTTTACCAAGTGAGTAGTAGTAGTTTGTTCAAAGTATCCATCAACTCTTTCTAAATAGTAACATCTTAACATTAAGTTATGGTACATTTCTTACAATTAATGAACAAATGTTGATATCTTACTACTAAATAAAGTCCATGCTTTATTCAGATTTCCTTAGTTTTTACCTAATGAGCTTTTTCTGCTCCAAGATCCCAGTCAGGATCTCGCATTACATTTAGTCATCGTGTCTCCTTTTGGTTGTGACAGTTTCTCAGATATTTCTTGATTTTGATGACCTTGACAGTTAATGACAGTTTTGATGACACTGACCTGACCTTAACGGGTCAGATACTATGCAAAATGCCTCTCTATTGGAATTTCTCTTCATTTTTTTCATTGTTAGACTGGGGTTATGGGTTTGTGGGAGAAGACTACAGAAGTAAAGTGCCATTCTAACCACATCATATCAAAGGTACATACTTTCAACATGCCTTATATCACTGTTGATGTTACCTTGATTACCTGGCTCAGGTAGTGTTTGTCTGGTTTCTCTGATATAAAGTTATTCTTGCCACCCCCTTTTTCATACTGTACTCTTTGGAAGGAAGTCTCTATGTGAACCCCACACTTACAGAATGGGGATTTATTCTCCACCTCCTTGAGGGTGGAGTAGCTGCATAAATTATTTTACCTATTTACTTTGTAATCTATCCCCTTAAGTATAACTCTCTTGAGTCTGAAATACTCAATTCTGAGCTAATTATTCACAGAGTAGTAACACATTCCACTGTCAAGTGTAAAGAATGTTGTAATGGAAGACAAACATTTCTACAGCTCTTCAGTAACCAAGTAACTATTCATCCTTATACCATCCCTGTGAAATTTTACAGTTCCTCTTCTGCTACTTTTGATGTGCTATTTTTGCCTTTAGAAACTAACAAACAACAAATTTCCCCTTTCAATACTAAAATTAAACCTCGTGTTTAGAGTATTTCTCTGAAATTGATATTATCCTGTAGGACTCCAACCCATACAAGCTATAGAGTTGCTATCACTGTGCCATGATCTCAAAACAAAGCTAATAAGTTATTAACTCATTAAAAAACTGTGTGTGTATATATATGTATGTATGTATGTGTATATATATATATAAAATCCCCTATGCCAAGGCATAAAATAGACTGAATATTTAAAATAAACTAAAATTCATAAAATTACAACAGTCATACTTTAACTGGTAAGTGTGGGTTTATACTGACATAGTCTACTGATGTATAAACCTACCTTAAGTCTCAAATATATTTGTGTATACTAACAATGTAAGTTTCTTACAAGGGTGAAAGTGGTCTTTTTGCAAATCATTCACATTTGTCCAATTCAGCACACTGGGTAACTTATAAGGACTCACCTGAACAATGTCCCTTAGTATGAAGAAAAGTTCTGCTTTTGAAAAATTATGTGGTCATGTCCCCTTTCCTCTCTCTATAGTCAAATGTATGCTTGACCTCTATAAATTGGGAAGGACGTTGGGACAAGATGTTGACTGGTACGTCTTTGTGCACAAACATCTTTGGGTTAATTTTACTATCTTATTGTGTCCCCCTTTGCTTTAGCCCATGTATAACATTATACATGTATTTTTGTAAGCTATCTCAGATCCTATTTGGAAGAAGGCAGGATAGTAGAAAATAAACACACATAAGTAACAGTGTGTAGCGTTTTGTGAGTGGTGGCAAATGAACCAAGCAGTTCCCAGAAGGGAAAACAAAAGTGAGAGGACTGCTTCCAAAAATGAAAAAGTTGAGCCGATAAAAGTGCCAAAATGCTTTTGAACCATCAGAACATTCTGAAAACTTGGACCAAGAACTTTTATTATGTGAAATGAAAAACTGAGGAAGAAAAACATAATACAGCGACTGAAGTGCGTTCTCAATGATTGTATTCATGGCTGTCATCCCCAAATTTAGACCCCAAATTCCAGATTTTGTTCAATTTAAGGCAAACATCTTTGAACTTAAACTTGCAAGAAAGCAATCCAGATCCCCCCTCCCGGCATGTGATATCACTCCCGCATCCATTATCCTTTAAAGAAAAACATTTTGAGACAGTTTACTGTCGCGCCGTTTCCATCCTATCGAGGTTTTCGGCTTTGACATTCAAACGGGGGCTGGAAGTGCGGTACCTCGGGCGCTCGGCAGCGAGCGTCCTTTAAAGCCGCCGCCAGCCAGCGCCGCTGTAACCCCGCGCACTCGCCGGTCGCCGGCTCCTGCCCCTTTCAATCTGCGCCGACGCGCGGCCGGATCCCGGGGACTCCCCGCGCTGGGAATCTCCCGCCAGCTGCGCGCTGCGTCCCGGCGACGGCAGGAGCACGTGGAGCGGCCGGGTAGTCAGAGCTGCAGCTCCAGCCCAGCCTAGCCCAGCCCAGCCCGGCGGCGAGATGGAAGGTGAGCCTCCAGCCCGCTTCTTTTCTGAGGGGTCTTTGAAATGTTCAGCCGGTGCACGCAGCAGAGAGAGTTCCTTCTGAATCTCGGTTTTACTTCTATTTATTTCTTTTGTCAAAAGTAAATATGAGGCATTTCAGAGGGCAAAGCGTGTCGGTTCTTGTACATCTCTCATTTGCTCCCCACCCCCCACCTAACTTTGGAAAGTGATAACTTCTCCGCAGTTTTATTTCTTAGGGGTTGTCAAGGGTCAAGTCTAAGTCTGCAGAGGAAGAGTACTTATGGGGTGTCCCTGAAATGGCAGCAAATCTGAGTTGGAATAAGTAATCCTTTTGGATGGTTTTTTTCGTCCGCGGCCTCGGTGTCCCTTGGAATTAGGCTAATTTGAGTGATTTGTTTAGAATGAAAGGTGACTGTTTTTTCTTCTAAGGGTAAATGCTGTTATCTGGGAAGCTAAATTGTAAAGCGTTGGCACTTGTGGTTCCCTTGGGGCTCGATCTTCTAATGATAACTTATTTACTCAAAGCAAAAATCAGGCTCACGCTGAGTTCCATTTAAATTAATTTTGAAAGTCGTAAAACTATCCTCGCTTTTCAGAGTTTTCAGTGTGTACTTTCTTGGGATAACTAAAATTTCATACTACTATTGTAAACTTTTCTATAGTCTTTTCAACAAGTGTTTCTAAAACCTTGAAAATGGCATATGCATCTCAGGTTGGGGGAGGTGGTGACAGAAAATCAGAATTTGTGAGAAATGTATTCATTCTATTAATAAATGAAATCCTGACACCTAATTAAAATGTTACTTTGATAAATATTATGAATATACTGGATATTTTCTTCATCATACTAGAAGGCTCTCTTATTGCCAATGAACCTTGACTTTTGGCAGCTTTAGGTCTAGAGTATATGAAGTTACTAAATTTGATTGAATACTTTGGGACACAAGATAAATTTTATTTCATAACATAGTTGAGTGCAGAACTGTGGTCCTAAGTCCTTACTTTGTACTTGGGTGTATTTACAATTTTTAAAATTGATTTGGCCCTCATAAACATTTTTTTCTCTAAGTAAAATGCCAAGTGATGATAAGTCAATGAACAGTATGTAGTTAGTATGGATGTAGAAAATTTAAAATGACCATTATTGAATAATGCCTCAGGTATTTTCTTTTATGAAAAACTCTTTAGGCTTTCAATTAGAAAAAATTGTTAGGGTTTAAAAATAACTCTAAAAAATTTGCACTTTGAGTATTTGAAAAGTAGTATATAATGTGTAATTTTTAACAAGTGATGGTTTCATTGGCCAAAAACAGGGGAAAAAATTAGGTTGCTGTACAGTATGAAAAAAATAATTTAAAAAATTCTAATTCTTTAATTGTTACATAATGAGTGTAATAATTACTGAGATGAATTGCTGAATTTATTTTTGTTAATCAGTACCCTCATGCTATTTTTCCTAGTCTTAAGTGTTTCACTTCTCAAGAATAACATATAGAATAATATAAGACAGTGGAGATCGGAATATTTCTCTGTAAATGTTAATACTTCTGAATTCAATTATTAACTAAATAGCATAATTTAGTCTATTAAAACCCTAACAAAGACTTTGAGATATGTCTGAATAAAAAAGGAGTGAAAACTTACGTAGAATTTGATTTGGAATGTATAGACTATAAATAGAAAGAGAATATAGAATATGGATC